TCCTAGTAGCTTCTTGTTACTACTAGTAAGGCACCTGTTACTACTAGGAAGGCACTTGTTCCTAGTAGGTTCTTGTTACTACTAGTAAGGCACCTGTTACTACTAAGGCACTTGTTACTAGTAGCTTCTTGTTACTACGTGAGAGATTTGCTGTTTCATTTGACACCTGCCTCGAGGCTGTGGCTCAAAACTGCACGTCATTTTGCCAACATGAGACTGCACTTGGTCAGACGCTCAAGTGATGGTGCGTATGTGTTCAGCAGTTGACTGTTGCTCTCAAGGTGCTGAGTGTCTCATCCATTTTCTATGTACTGGCACTGCGCCCCTATCAGTCTGACCTTGACTTAGTACCTGGACAGGCTAGAGACTCAGAGACTGCAGGGGGTGTTGTCACGAGTTTTGGCCCTCGAACTGTGCAAACACTGTTTTGCCCTGTGGAGGACAAAGCAGATGTGAAGAAACTTCCTTCTGATATTATTGCACCCTGCCTGCAAGCTCATTTCTGGTATGACTATGTATGACTTGTTCACCAATCTTGGCTGGGGCAAAAAAATGACGAAGGTGTTGACCAGTCAATACCATCAAGGAAGCTATGAGGCAGTAGGTTGGAAAATGTCTTGCACTGTTGTGCCGGTTTTGTAATCCTGGAGCGGGTTGTAGAAATACACGTGAGCAGCCACCAAAATCTCCCATGTAAGAATCTGAAGAGATTCATGTAAGACGCGAAAGGTAAACGCACACAGTCGCGAAAGATTCGCGCAGGGTTTCGCAATTTTGTTAATGCGCCCAAGCTTGCGAAAGCTTGGTAAGTCGGTTCTTTCCACGCAATTCTCAGTAGACTTTAAACAACGCTTCTGTGAAAACCACAGTTTCTCTGCAGTACGTTTGCCGACTTCTGTGCCAAGGACAGCGTTGGCGAAGATCCCTTTGGCTGGGTCCACATCAGCAGTGGAGCAGCAATGTTGGCTTGCTCTGCGTTGGCGTTGCGTGAATGCACTTGGATCTCCTTAGTCCAGATGATTGGTTTGAAGCCATAGATTCACATTGGTCAGCCTTGCAAGTCCATCAAGCCAGCACCCTCCTGCACCTCAACGATAAATTGTACCTGTGAAGCTTCAAAGGGGTTTTAACCAGTGCCATCACTCAGTTAAAGTTGGAGTTGCCAATGCAGGTTACTTTGGCCAGACTCACTCTCTTGGTTCAAGGTCGCGCCTTGCAGAAGTCTTGACTAGAAATGATTGGTGCCTTGTGCCCTGTCCAGCCAGGCAAAGGCGGCTGAGGAAGAGCATGAGCTTAGCTCGGATGATGACGAGACGGAAAATCCTCAAGGTTAGCCTGCCTGTGGACATGTCAGTCGTTCCCAATATATATATATATATATTGATTTTTTCTTGTCGCGCCTCCGTTCCCACAAGTCGCTTCTTTGCCCAGGGCATGAGATCATGGTGAACGAAGGGAGCGAGAGGTGGTTTTCAAAGGCTTTGAAGCGACTTGCAAGGATTAACATGATTCGATTTCCAAAGTCTGTGAAATCCGATCTTCAAGCGTTGGTGCTTCCCAGGGACACACAAGTGGTGGGATACTGTGGTGGATTATTGCTGTGCTTTAGCAATGACAGCTTGGAGAAGGCAAAGTCCTCGAAGGGACTTGATTTCAAGCATGCCACAAACAGTTCCTAGCCACAACGCTTGCCTTGACTTGGGGTGGCAGGTCTGGACGCAGGACAGCTTACCCAAGAACATGCAACGTGGTGCGGCATTGATGGCGGGAATGGCTGCAGGCCTGTTTGCACAGCGTATGTGTTTCGCAACTTGTTTGCACATCATTTCACTGGACGATTTGCCGGCTTGTTTGCCATCTTTCTTCCACCTTGCGACGAGCATGTGGCTTTGCCATCTTTGAGCTTGTTCATTCTCGTTTCTATTTTTTGTCGCTCCAAGTTTGTGGAGTACTTCACCTGCACTGGCCTTGGAGACAACATTCCGTGGCACGAAGATATTATCTTTTCAGTGTGCTTCTTGGCCGGAGTTGTAGTGCTGGGGGTGTGACAACTGGAATGACAGATCGCTTTAGATACGGTCTGTAGATAAGCGAAATCCACAGGTATGGTGGTGATAATAGCCGCCGCGATGTGGCTGGCGTGGACGGCGGTCCCACCTCGGCAAGATCTGAGCATGGGGCATGTGTCGAGCTACTGGAGCCTCTTTGCTCAAAGAGTTTGAGTCTCAACCTTTGTCCGAAACAGCTCGTCCTAGCCGTAGCCAATTGATATGAGTTTGGTCTTTGGAGGGACGCTGATGATGTTGTCGCGATCGTCGTCACCACAGCTCTGAACGCGAAGGCTTGATGCTGCTCCTTTGGTTTGCCTTCATTGCAACAAGCTCTCCTCCGCTGAAACTGTCCTGCGGGCAGCTTCAAAAGCTCTCCCCTATTGACGGTTGTGCCGACCTCTTCAAAGCTCAAGCAGCTAAGTCAGCCTAGAATGACAAGTTTAAAGGCTATGGCTATGATTTTTGTTGTAAGGGTGGGTATGGCCTACAATAATTTCTGGTAGATTGAACGTCTACTTTGCACAGTGCGTGACCTGCTGGCTTAAGCCTCGAAATGAAGTTGATTGGGAAGACAAAGGCAACACTGTGGCAGCACTGTAGTTTCTTTTGGGCAATCCAGGGTTCCCTGCCAGCGATCGCGCTACCCATCAAGAACCGAACTCCTTTTTCTTGTGCTGAGTGTTTGCATATGATGAGCGTACGCGCAAAAAGCCGAGGCAGAGAAGCTAGACTGTTCCTTGCAAGGGCACACTGCCTGCCAGATTTTCATGCTGTTTCCACCTCAGCAGCTGGCAAATTACCTATCTAGCCTATTGGTCCATATGCCATACGTGGTGGTTCGATGAGGTTCGTAACTACTTCTCAGGTTCCTCCTGTCCTTGCCCTTTGCGTTGCCACAACTTTACCACCAATATTTAGCCATTCTTTGGCTCCTTCTCTACTTGGGCGCCTCTGCCTGGTATGAAAACACGCACCTTGGCTGGGTAGCGTGTTCAAAACATTCAGCACACTGACACCATGGCCACGAAACACGCCAGACACTGAGGTACGGCTTGGCGGATTTCAATCATCGCAGTGACATTCCGCTGCATTGCTGTTTGCTGGTAGCTCAGAACTGCTCATGGGGTTGTGCATTTTGACAGTGTATGGTAGCTGAGACGCTGAGTTCTGAGGCTGCTCCTGTCTCTGATCGTTGGCTTCTCAAGAAAGTTTTACTTGGACGCTTGCCCATGCCACAGTCGAGTGTCATCCTGGCCCGGGTTTAAAAGGCCAAGGCTTTGAAAGGCATGAAGGACTTCCTTTTCTCACCGTTCAGGGCAACCCTTTCCCTTGCATACCGAAGATGCGCATGATGAGTTTTCTTGGGAAGGCATTTCTTGCATCACAGCTCAGCTCAGCTCTCCTCTCC